CTTACGTTACGCAGTTCGAGTAACGGGTGACGGATTTACGTTACTAATTACTTTTACTTCCTAAACCTTAAAACAGAATTACACAAAATTTTTTTCGTGCTTCTAGGCGCCAAGTTAAGGGATTTTTTTTTTTTTTGGGGGGGGGGGGGGGTTTGCATTTTTTGTGAGTATTTGGGTGAACCCATAAAAAGGATAAAGTAATTATGTTCAGTGTCTGCATATACATAATGTTACTAGAAATATGGCGATTAAGTATACCTGCAAAGTGCAAACATCAAAACATGTCAATTCATAACAAAAAAGTAACGCCAAGATAACGTGCGTTACTTGACATGGGTAACTGTAACGCGTTCCTTTCATTTGCAAGTAATTGAATTGAATTAGCTTTATGTAGACACTAGGCCTATGGTAAAAGACAAAAGGCAGATAGATGAGCTCTTTCTGACGTGGGCCAATCACCCGATTACAATGCTCAGCACGCGAAGATCAACAACAATAATCATTAAAGGTTACAAGAAGACACAATAGCACATCAGCAACCATCAACACAGCATGTTTTGTACAGAGCTTATACAATCGTTAGTGCACTTAATGCTTTGGAAATAAATGAGACAGCTAATGCAATTCATACACAATGAAAATATAAGCTAAATGTATTTACTCAACATGACATGAGAGAAGGTACCGCTGTAGGCTAATTTTAAAGCTGTGTTTTGTTCCGCAATCTGAGATTATTTTCCTAATGGCTGGATGTTTATTTAAGAAATGAGGTATCAAGTATGCTAATTGGTGATGTCCATAATTCTTACTAGACCAAGGTACGCTATAGGAGCCGTGTCGAAGATTGTATTGTGTATTACTAGGAAGAAGTGCATAAAAAAATGGGTGGGGTCACTAATTATTTCGAGTGGTAAGAAAACTGTGTTTAAAAAATGAAAGCCGCTTACACTCTAAGAAAATCCCGTACGTCTACTTTCTTGCACAACACTTGGAGAGCCAATCACCGCAACTTGCGGAGGCAGCTCAGCGAATGCCGATGGCGACGGCAACACCGAGGCGCCGAGGGTCACGCGACCTCACGACTACGCCGATGGCGATGGCGACGCCGACGCCATCGGCGTAACCATGAGGTCACGTGACATGAGCTCAAGGGGGACATGTTACCTCACAAGGATGACGTGACGTTGCCGGGGCCACATGACGTCACAGGGATCACGTGGCTTCACGGGGTCACCTGACCTCACGAAGGTCACGTGACGTCATCGGTGTCACGTGACCTCCGTGAGGTCACGTGATGTCACCGGGGTCAAGTGACATCACGGGAGTCACGTGACCTCACCATTACGCCGACGGCGACTGCGACGCCGACGCCGCTCAAGCCAGAAACGGGCGCCTAATGGTACGTTTACACTTGCGGATCCGCCAGCAAAACCGCCCAGCTTCTGCCGCTGGGGCGAAACGCTGGTGGGAAAACGCGCCGGCGAGCCGTTTAGGTCCGGTGTCTTTTGTGCCGCCGAACGAGGCGTTTCGCTTACCGGAGGTGGCACTCTTGTTCAGCGCGACCCTGTCTACGTCATGACTAGGCGTTCTTCCGGGTGCTGCAACGCCGCGGATTGGCTGGGAGAGACAGTCGAGGTGGGAACTCTCGCGCCTCCTCGTCATATTTGAGCGAATGTTAAGGTCAGCTACCGCAGCCGGCGCCGCCACCGCCGCTCGAAGGAAATAGATGTAAACGCAACCCGCTCGTCGCCGCAGCCGCAGGGAGCGGAACCGCTCCCGCGGCAGGGGATTACTTATCAGGTGTAAACGTACCATAAGATCTACGCTCCAAAGGAACAGTGCTGTGTGGTCAGTATGCTGAAGGTTTTCTGTACAACGTATTGCTTTTGTATTCGCAAAAGAAACAACCTATCAATATTTGTTTTGTTGTTGAACCCCAAACTAATAAAGAGTAATTGAGGTGAAAGTACACTAAAGTATAGTACATTTGACGTTTTAACGAGCATGGAACCATCAATCTAATTTTGTATAAAATACCAATAGATCTCAGGATGCTTGCATGGATTTTATGTATATGAGGTGTCCAGCTTAAATTTCTCCTAACAATTTATAAACGTTTACGGGCTCAATCACAGAGTCTTGGAATTAAAAAAAAATCACAATCGTCAGGTTTACCTCGGGGCCTAAAGATTACGTATTTTGTTTTCGTAACATTTAACTGAAGTTGGTTATTGTTAAGCCAGTCCGATAAATCGTTGAGCCACGTGTGAGCAGTAACTACTAGATGACTTAAAAATGGAACAGAAAAAATAAGCTTGTATCGTCGGCATACACAACTATTTCAGGAGTGTTTAGGATAGGTACAATGTCTTTAATAGAAATAATAAGAAAGAAGACGCAAAACAGACCCCTGTGGAACCCCATGCGAAATTTGTTCTCGCATGGAGTGGTATCCATTAAAGCACGTATATTGTGACCGACAAGATAAGTAACTACGTACCAAATCTAAAGCAACACCTCGAATTCCATAAAACTATAGTTTATAGAACAAAACATCATGTTAATTGAAATCAAACGCTTTTGTATAGTCTAAAAATATTCCAGTGGTAAATAGTTTATTTTAAAATTGTTGATTAATTTTCCTTTGATATTAAGTAGCGCCATTTCTGTTGACTTTTTTTCTTGAAAACCGTATTGCTCATTACAAAGGCATCTCTATCATTCAAAAATGTGCACAAGCGTTTCTTTATCAGATGTTCTAATACCTTCGAACACAAAGGAAGTACGGATATGGGCCTATAGTTAGTGATGTTGTCGGAAGAACCTGGGCTTTGTGCAAAACAGCAACTCTTGGAATTGTCATGCCATGGGGAAAAGTATTAGTTGCTAATGCATTGTGACATATATGCTGTAGAGGAGAACACAAAAGATGGGCGACAGCTCTGATTGGTATGGCCTTGATATAATCTGCTGCAATGAGTAACGTATTTCGTTAGTTTTTCTCGGTAACGCCTGCAATACTGCTGCAGTGCCCACGATGCATCTCAGAAAACAGAACAACTGATATCCGAATCTCGACTTTTGCTCGACCTGTGCTATTTCCCCTCTGAATTTAGCGGGAAAATTACGTCACATGACTTCATGTCACGTGACCTCTAGAACAATATTATTTCTCCGCTAGCGGAAAATTGACGCCACGTGACTTTGTGACTCGTGACCTACACTTGAATTCAGAAAAAAGTCGTCTAAGTGGGAAGGGTAAATAACTTGCGAATATTTTTATCTATTTTACTGCCATCGTCATTTTATACAAATTTCTAAACCTCTGGTAGTTTTTATATTAACTAAAAATTATTTTCATTATTTAGCTTTTCTATAAATAACTATGCTGAACGTATTTTTGCATCCGGTACAATTGTGTAAACCTGCTCTGCAGCACTATCATATAAAAAACACAACATTGTATCGAGCTGACCGATACAAAATTCTTCAAACCCAGAAAACACGAGCGTTAACAGCATGGTGGAGAATAAAAGTCAGGACGATTTAAAATCGTGATTTCTATCAAGGTTTCAATAGTGCTTTAAATCAAACCTGTTTCACTACAATAATTTGAATAAAAACATTTCCACAAAAGTAATCCCAAAATAGTTTTATACAGTGTGTCGAACCGCAAAAAATACGGGTTCGGTTACGGTTCAGGTTCAGGTAAATTTATTTTGTTCCGGTTGAGTTCCGGTTTGATTAATATGATCCGCGAACCGGTTCGGTGCGCTGAACCGGTTCGCGAACCGGTTCGGAAATTATAAATGACAAATTGCAACATCAAAATAACAAAATCAAAATAACATCAAAATAACATCAAAATAAATAAAAATTGCAACATCACGTTCTAGAAACGTGTTATGAAATGAGCACACAGCAGCATTTAGGATTTTCGAGATTGTAGGAAAATGAAATCCCGTGATGCGATTTTTTTTTCTTTGCATAGCCTTCCAATTCTTTTTCTTCCGTGCAAGCCGCGACCAGCGCAATACTGGTTCCTATGTCAAGATTCATGGATTCAGCGTTTGTCAGGATTCATGGATGCAGCGTTTATATTCCTAAGACTGAGTGGAGAAGAAAAATATGTAAGCGAGGTGTGTGTCAGTTGACGGCACTTAAAAAACAAATGGCATTGATAGCACATTCATTGTCAACAGCGCGTGGCCGAACCGTTTTAACATGAGCCGGTAACCGTTATTTTTTTCCGGTTCAGTTCCGGTTCGGGTTCATCGCGATAGCAATATAACGGTTCGGGTTCGGGTTCAGTTCCGGAAAAAATACCGGTTGGGTTCCGGTTTTCGGTTCGGTTCGGTTCCGGTTCGACACCCTGGTTTTATTATTTACCAACTTTCTATCTCTCGATGCATTGTATATTCATTGTTTTCTTTTTACATCAAGGAATCGCTAAACAAAACAAAAAATCTCATAACGCACTCAAATCAAGCATAAAGCAGTCGTCAGAGCAAATCGCAGCCCCACATATTTAGCTATTTTTGTGTTCTACAAAGTCAAATTTTACTAAAAAAAAAGCTAATTAAGCCGAACTTTAAATTTACAGTAATTATTTCTTCCGGAATATTTTCAGTGGTCGGGTAGATTTATTAGTCAACCAGTCGTGATCAGAAATACATCTAGTGATCAAATGCAGTAATTTATAGCTATACTAATGCAAAATAAATTAATCTGGTAGAACGCAAATGAATCTGATTTAAATCATAGGCATCCTATAATTTATAGTTAAACAAATAATTATTGTATCCCGCTCACTCGAGTCCCCTTAGAAAAGCGCAATCTGATCCAAAAGGTTTGGAATAAAAAAGTCGACTTTATATGACAAAAATTTTGTTTTCTTCTAAAAAATTTCAGTTTACAATTGTCTTGCACTCTTGGCGGCCATAACAAGACTTTCAAATTGAAAGATACCAATGTGTTAGGCTTGGACAATGAATACGCACCTGAAACCGGTATATTCCAACAAGCTGGAGGTTTATTCGGGGCTTGCGAACCGTCTTGAAGATTGCATTCACCTTCGTGGAAGAAATAAGGGATTCGAACGGATGTCAGCAATCGGAGCATGAAAGCCTCAATAAGCACATTTTGTTTGGTCAATGGACACTAGCATTACTATATTATTTCTGAACAAGAACAAATGCAAACCATACGCACGATGTTCATTAGCCTTATGATGTATCGAGCCTGTAGATATTTGCTTTCCTGGAGGGACTTGTGTATTACACTGTCCAACATGACGTACATTTCAGGTCGCCACACGGTGGGTGGCTCTGCAGGGTAACCTAGAAGGTTTCAAATCATGAAATGTCCTCAGTGCGTCGCAAGTTTAGAATTAACTGTGTAATCATTTTTTTTAATATGCACGATGCGAGAAAAATTTTAGCTTGTTTTCTGTGCAAGATAGTGAAACTGTCTTTCCCATTGAAAGTTTTCGAATTCATTATATCATCAAAGTGCGGTCTCGAATTGTAGTTACACGTGCAGCACCAGCTGACGTCTACGGAATTATTTCAAAGCAAAAACCTAAAGAAGAAAAATTAGGGTTTCTACTGTGTACAGAAAATTGCATCAACGTTATCAAATGGCCAGTATGTATGCCGCGCATGTAACTGGAATTGCAGCCTGCTCCTTGGTGTTTGTACAATTGGTTGAGAGGACTGCTGAGAAATGTTAAATGGTTTACAAAAAAAAATAGGCTTACTTTTTGACGGTAGACTTTCATGGGAACGTTCTTCAATGGGAACTGTAAATATCATAGTGATACTTAATGTAATAAATAATCACAGTCAAAGGTTATAACTTTTCAAAGGCATTCTTCTTCAGCAAAATTATAGAGGGACAGTTCGTGTTTTGCTGTCAATTAGCTTTTGTTTGTATTTTCCTTTTTGCTGGCCCGTTTTTGCGGTTTTTAGTCGTTAAGATATCTTCAAGATAATTTTCTCAAATTGTTACAATATCCGATGTCAGTGCATATGTTTTTATCTAAATACCATCGCCTCAAAATTGAACCATGCCGGAATAAAGTAGATAACTCTTCTTGTTTAAAAAAAAAGACGACGAAGTGATATTTTTGCACATGTTACCTAAAAAGAAAGTATAATTAAGCAAAATGATATAAGGAATGTTCAAGTTTCAGGGTATTCCGCGTCATAAATATAATTTGTAGAAACATATTTTCTCGGCACTCCTAAGTCTACCAATTAAATTATTCAGAAAAAACAGAACGGCAACTTTGAACGCTCTTAAAGTGTGTTATCTTCATTGTATGTATGTAAGAACTTCTTTTCTGATTGCCAAACCACAGACCTCTTCCGTTGACTCAGAAAGTGCTAATTATTGGTAAGATTTAAGATCATACATGCTCTAATACACTGAATACTCTGAACATCGGATTACTTACTCAGATCACTTATACAGGGGCCGTTGAAATGATGCAAGTAAAAAAAAATAAAGAAATACTGACGGGCCGTCGCCTTTGCAAGCACTCCTCCTCTTCATTTTCCAATGATAATCAATAAATGCGCACATTTCGCCATGTATAAAACAGAATGCGTGGTTAGACAAAAACAGAAGGTGAACTTATTGATCGAGAGAATAAATGGCAAATAAGTGAGAGGGTATTGACACCGCACGCGACGCGAACGCTGAAGTGAGGAATTCGGTCGTACTTTTAAAATTTCTAAGCATTTTCGCTTCTGGAAGCCTAGCCTTTAAAGGTCGAATTTTCAATAAATATCTAGTGTAGCGATTGATTCAGCCACTTACTTTCCAAGTGGATTGCCTCCTCAGGCGTCGGGAGCGGAAATATTCTGTGAGGGATTCGGCCGGATTTGTCATGTATTCGCAATGGCTCAATTCCATGTGTAAAGTTTAGGTAGCCTTCCTGTTAAAAAAGTGAAAGATTTCTGAATATTGCAAGCATTGCCCGTTGCAGACTGTTTGTGAATCGCTAACCAAACATTTCATCCTCATTAAAAATTCAATTGGTTAGGAAGCAATTTATGAAGAACTTATTCTTAATAATTATTTTAAAGTTCCCATAAATAATGTTCTATATACGCTGTGGCGACGTGAACTTCCAATATGCTTAATACACATTCATTTTTACGAAACTTAAAAAAGCACTACAGGTTTATAAAATGTCCGCGAAAATCTATGTAGTCAACAAATAAAAGATTTATAAATAACGATTGCATAACCTCCTGTACATTTGTATAACCATATTTTTGGTTCCCATGCCAATATATACTTTAAAAAATATTTGTACATACCATTTCAATTCCCGCATTTGTTTCTGTAATTGTAAAGGAAGCTTTGTGTTCCGAATTTTCATAAACACTATTACGTATATCTGTAGTATCCATCTAAAAAGAACATATTATGAGTAAAATAACTGCGAAGTGATATTCATAATAGTGGCAGCTGAAATGCTAAATGGTTATTTTTATAGCCATGCTATTTATGGCTAAGGTTTTGTGGGTTTTTCGTGTGCGTCAATAAAAACTGAGTTCACGAATATGGTGCAAAATCTCTTTATTTTATGAAAAAGCTTATGTCTCATCACCTGGATACGCGTTTTCAGTAGAATATTTATCAATAGGCTCCATTTTCAGTAGAGTAGTTATCAATAGGCTCCATTCTCAAGATCAGTACACTCTCACCTACATAATAAAGGTTTCTCATAGATTTGGCGTTGTGCGACCCGCGTCGGATATGTCTACTCTCGCTCTCCCCTCTCCTAGTAGTCGCCCCAAGCACTTGCGAGCCTAGTTTCCGTTCCTTCCGCTCTCACGGATTGGCGGTCTCGTCGCGCGTGTCTACTTTCCGCCGGGCGGCGGTCCCGTTGCGGTTGTCTTTTTTCCTCCGGCTCGTCACGACGACCACCGATCAAGACAATAAATCTGGTCGTACCTCTGTTCAAAATGCTTTGACACGTTAGTGTCGTGTGCTAAACAGCTTCTCTGGTCAATCACATTTACAGAGTGGAATTGCTCATGCCTTTTTTTTTGCAAACTATGGCAATTTATAAAAACTCAGTGAACGATTACATTCAATGAATTTCAACAAGACGCAGAACGAATATCGCGGTGAATAATTGCATGACTTATCGAGGAAGTAAAACTTTCTCTAAGGTTGCAAAAAAGAAATCGTGGGAGTCAGCACGTCAGTTAAACAAATCTGTGTTATTTGCGTTATTTTTAGCGGAGACAATTCAACTTGAACGGTATTTTGAAATGTACGAAAACCTCCAAAGACACTAGCGGACACATCAAATAACTTCTGAGCGATTAAACAGGGGGAATGTTTATTTTCTAATTAAATTAAGTGAATTTCCAACAATGAGGCGGAAGCATGCTTTCTTGTGCAAGGTAATGTTTCCTTACCAATTCGTGAATCACGTCTCCATAACTAGTCTCTGAAAAATAGAGACTCTCCCCTAAAACGCTAGATTCTTCCAAGTCTATGACGTAGTCTTCAGAAAGTTGAACAGCGCCTCTTGAGTTGCCGCTTCTGCTTTGAATCAGAACCGGATACACGACACCTGGAACGTAACTGCTCCTGTTATTCGACCGTTCCAAACTCGCAACAATCTTCTGGGTACAGAGGAACCAAAACAAAGCGTTTGTCACAAATAAGTCATTGTGTTTTTCATATAAAAAAAAATCGTACCTAGATCTCCCAGCAATGTTCCCTATCACAAAGGACAATTAACTCAACAAAAATAAGAAAGCCCTTCTGCAATGACAAGACGTTGGAAACGTAATGCAATAAAAGAAACCACGGGAAGCAAGCCTATACTCATGTGAATAGTTCGAACGGATCAGATTTCTAAACTTGAAAAATCTATTAGAGTGCCATTCCACATAAAACAAAGGAACTGAACAATCTAGATTACCTTGTTGCCAAGTTTTTATTAATAATGGTTATAATCTTTATCTTTTGTACCACGCCTACGTTCCTGTTCTTGCGAAAAAGTTTTGGATATCTGTCAAACTTTTCGCTTTTCAGCGCTCTAATTTTACGGCACCATGATGAATGGAACATCGTTTCGTGACGGTGACAGACGTTTGGTAACTCCGATTGTACACGTAATCTGAACAAACAGAGGCTAAGAAAAGCGCGAAGTCTAATTTTCTTAAATGCCCAACAACGCGGAATGATTCCTGGCAGTTTGGAACTCCGTAAAACACAAACATTACGTGATTGTACATTCTGTGCACGTACTATGCATTAATAAGCCACATTTGCATCCTCTCTTAATTTGTAGGTGTAATAGGAGGAACCAAGTGCATGGTCTTTACGAAGACCTGACGTACGTCAGACCTTGAATACGCGAACTGCTTCCGGTAAGATGACCTCGGTGTCGCTTTGTACCTATGTGTGACGCCCTTTGGCTCGCTGAGCTGTGGAGTACGATGCCTTTAGAAATCGTCTGTGACTTGTGCGTTCAGGATCCTATCGCACCATACATTAAAAGTAATCCCGAGGATTCCACAAACGACCTCACAGGAGCCAAAGTGTCATGCTCTCAGATGTCACGACCCTTGCGCTTGGTGCTAGAATTTCTCGCCAAAATTACGATGGAAAGCTCGTACTTTTGGCTCGTACCACCACCGCTGCGACACCGCCAGAATGCTGGCAGACGGCATGGAACATATATTACGTCAAAGTGCGGAAATAGACGGACAACTTTTTTAGAACGCGGAACGCGGCTAACGGCGCTGCTCGCTACACACCATTCTTTGGAGCCAGCTGTACTTAAGAACGCTGCTTAAGCTACGTTGCTTTGACAAATCTCTATAAAAAAAAAAAGAAAAGAATGACCATATTTGGTTAAGAGTACAAGAATTTCGTTCGCAACTTCTATGTCACAGATATAAAAAAAGAAAAATTATATAATCACTAGGTTTGCGTTAACCTAGTCGCAATTTTATTTTGCTTGTGTTTTTGAAGACATTTGGATGTAGTACCGGGTGTCTCAACTAGCGGCAAAACTCTTTAAATCAACCGCATAATTCGGTTTCTTAACCTATCGCGCTTCGATGTTTCGCAGTTTTGCCCACAGGTGGTGCATTTGTTCTATAAAATTTGCAAAAAGCGAACTTACCTGAGGGAAATGTAAAGAAAGGCTTAACTCCTATGAAAACGTAGCGATGTCACCAGTTTTAAGTTAATAGTGTGCCATATTGATTGAAGACCGGTGGTTTGGCTAGGTTTCCACAGGTATTACGACTATTGCTTTTTTTACTTTTTCCTCAGGTAAGTTCACTCTTTGCAAATTTTATAGAAACATATGCGCCGCCTGTGGGAAACGCAGCACAAAATCATAGCGCGAGGGGTTAAGAAACCGAATTTTGCGGTCGATTTAAATAGCCTGGCCGCTATTTGAAACACCCAATAGGATATCAACGTATTAAAGTATCCGAATCAACCCGTACTTTTATCGGGGAGATATAGCGGCATATATTTATATGAGGCCGCTCCTACAATCATTGGCAACCTAAGTGAAGGACGTGCTGACTGACGAGCATCTCGTTATTTCTTCTCATCCAGTAGGATCGCGGTATTAGAGGATAAGAACACAGAAGAAGCCATCACGACGTAAGAATCAAGACTATAATATTAAGCCACACGCTGCGCGTCTTATTTGTTAGCGACTATGAAGGAATCTATGAATACGATCAATGCACTATGTCTACCGAAGCCTATTTAAACCCTACGCCTTTCGGGGGTATGTTGCATGCCGTAATACAAATTATTTCTCGTCTGCAATATTGTGTGCGGATTTTCCATGATAACTGTTTATCGGGCCAAAAGCTCGGAGGCTTATGCCTAGGAGAAACGTGAAATTCGATTTTACATTTCTTAGTAAAACCCCATGCGGAAGCGTCTACATAAATAGAATCAATACATCACCGGCGTGAGCAGTAGCAACGATGAAAATGGTGAGTGTAGCGGAATACATTTTCTGTCATAAAAACGTACGTGAAGGAGAGAAACACACTTGGAAATGTAAGAATGGCTTTGTCAGGAGCCTTTTTAAAGGGTGAAAAGGTTAAGCGCCCTTTAAAACATTACACAAAATGCAAGATAGTGAAAACAATACGTCAAATGACGCACACAGGAAGTTGCATTTATTATGTTGTTAAAGACAGCTTTTGCACACCGGCAATGGACCTTTTTCCAACGTCAGAGCCATCTCGTGGCAGTCTCAATAGCTCCAATTTCTCCGTACTAATGACGGTGATAGAAGATCAAGATCGTCTACCTTCAAACACTCCCGATTTTGTTAATCAAAGACGACTTACAAGGACAAACTTTTAAAATAAATTCTCAGCTTCTCTGCGGCATTATTTCAAAGACGCTCGCTTCTCAAAAGTCGCAGAAGCTGCGTAGCGCCGCCATTAGAGCGCCGAGTTTGGCTCTGCTCGTGGTAGGTGAGACTAAATATTGAAACGGGTCTATTGAAGCGGGCGTCAAAAAGGAGACAACTGCGCTTTGGTTATTGCGGTAGAGACTAAACATGGCTTGCATTGACGTCACATCAGCGGCCATTCTGGTGGCCATTGCTTGCTGAGCACGTGGCTTCTGCATTACTGCATGAAAATAAGTATGTAATATGACGTCACATGCCGGACACACATAAACGCCGCGGTTAACGAGACATGTTAATGTCACGAAACTGGCCCGTCGGAGACGCGGAAAAATAAACCAGCTGTTTTCAACAAATGACTTCCTCAAATCTCTCGTCGCTTCGATAGAAAAAAGTGCGATTCCATACACGGAATAACAGTGATAGCACGTAAAACCGAGATTAAACAATCGTGCATTGTATGACCTTTATCTGACTTGCTACTAGAGAAGGTCAGAGCAGCTCTCGAGGGCTACGTTTACTCAAGTGATTTCTATTGACACATTAACGACCGAGTTGGCATCGCGCGCGTCTCCCGCGGGAAGGCATGGCGCTAGGGCCCCACTAGCCAAATTTCTCGCTTTATCTTTCTCCTCTCTTCTAGAACGTTCCTATCTTGTAATGTATCGCTCGTTCATGTTCGGAATGTTTTAGAATGCAGACTATGTACAGAAGAAGGTGAATTTGGCAACATTGGGTCACTTGTCCCTAGTCACCGTCACGGGATGCACGCTGTTCTTTTTGCTTTAGTTACGGGTGCGAGTTCACCTTATTGTACCTTTATTTTCAGTTTTTAAATGAACCTACTATTTTATCCGTGATAATACAGTAATGCCCAGGGAAGACACCCAAAACTGTAGGAAGATCGGGAGGTATCCAGGGCTGCTCAGTAGATGACGCCACTGTGTTCATTCTTTGTAAGCGGTCGCAGGCGTGTCAAAACGACCATTCGCCTGGTCGTTTTGGATCACTAGCCTAAATCCACTACGGAGCATCCGATTCGCGCGGAGCCACCGCGCCTCCGACTCCACCTGCGGAAGACGATAGGCTTCCGGCAGTGACCAAATGTCGTCCCGGCATTCCCCATAGCGCTGGGCTATCCTCATTTCTGGAAAGCGTGATCACGCGTCGGTCGATCGCCGTTCCCCTCATGCTCGGCGAGGCAGGAAGTTTCATCTTCCAGAGATTGGGTTCCACTCGGCTCCGGGAAGATCAGCCGATCGAGATCAGCACTCTCAAGAAAAGAGGGTGTCAAAAGGTGTATTCTTACACCCTTTGTCCTATATAATACTCCCCAAAACTTCAATTTGACGTACAGCGCCCTACAGTCAAACAGACGGCCCGAAATTTTACGAGAAGTAAAACGTAAAATGTACGTTTTACTGACAACAAGAAAAATAATTCGGGTTTTCTTGGCCCTACTGTAAAAACTCGGTGTTTCCTTTATGTGGTCTTTGTTACGTACTTTAGCTATTTAAAATGTTGTACCACACGGCTATCAAGACCCTCGTAACATTTTGGGCCGTCAGTTTGACTGTAGGGCGCTGTACGTCGAATTGAAATTTTGGGTTGTATTATATGGGACAAAGGGTGTAACGACACACCTTTCGACACCCTTTTTTCTTGAGAGTGAGGGCGTTCCGAACCCTAAATCAGATTCGGCGCTGCCCTAAAGGACGTGCGAAAGACATCCGGGTTGATCTCAAACGACCAGTGGCGAACGCGCCCTCCCAAAAAGTGGATGCCGGAACACGCCAAAACGACGAGTGGAATTCGTCATTACTCAAACGCAAATCTCTTAAAAAAAAAAAAAAACAACCTTGAAGGGACTATGAAGACAACTTTAAAGTTCAGTGAAACGATTGATATGAACGCCAAGTGCTTGCGCGTCACACAAATTAATTGAATTGAACCAGCAACAATCACATCGGGACCGGTGAGAGCGACGCCCGAGACTGCGGAAAAATCCAGCTTATGAATGCCGTGAACCGTGACATCAATTGAGGCACGTCGGGCGATTGGTCGAAATGAACGGAGTCTTCTTGTACTCGTTTTTGATCCTAAGTTGTCAAAAAATATTTCGTGTTATTCCTTACTTGGTAAGAACAAAAGATTTATGTTCTTGACATAACAAATTGCTACATTACAATAAAATATTATTTCAGTCCGCGGTCGCGCGGAGTGAAGAGACTGAATAGCATATTGAGGTATTTAGCGCACAAGGTAGAAAGAAGAAGGACAGGACAGAAAAGAGCGCTACTCACAACTACGTTTACTGATAAAAAGGGAAGAGAAAGAAAACACCTAAATAATCCGCCGCGGACTCGTGCACCTGCCACAGCCCCGTGAATGATAGCGGCTAGTTCATCCAGGCTCGTGCGGGCCCTTCACTGTTTGTTCAAGGAATTTCCTTTCCTTGTTTGTTAGCGTAACGGATTCAACGCTAATACAGTTCCTGTCCTCACGAAGGATGTAGAAGGCCTCCAATACCTCGCGGGTCAATTTGTCTTTGTTCTTCCCCAAGATGTTGGTCTCACGGAATAATGGTCTGCATTTGCATTCCCTGCAATGGAGAGGAAGATTTCCGCCCACTGTAGCCTTCAAGGAGTAATCATGCTCCCGGAGGCGGTCATTGAGGCATCTGCCCGTTTGGCCTATGTAGCTCTTGCCACACGAAAGAGGTATCTTATACACGACGCCCGAAGCGCATGGTAGGAATTCGTTTGCATGCTTCTTGGTGCACGTGGGTTTTGTGGTACCCTCAGCATGCAACTTCTTCTTTCTACCTTGTGCGCTAAATACCTCAATATGTTAGACTACCAACTAGCCCAAATGTCAACCTTACTGCAGACTGAATAGCTGAGAGCCTTTCAAGGGAAGCTAAAACAATGCTTGAAAAAAATAAAAACGAGTTAGAGGAGAATTCTAGAGTATTTTTATCCCGTGATTTTAAATACCACGTTAATTTCCATGAAGATTTATACTAAACGTGAGAAAACCTCCAAATCCTCCGGCCAGTAGTGACGTCGTACTAGGATCTTTGGGCCGCCAAACGCGTGTCGCTCCTTTGGGCAGCGCGTGCAATCGGAAGCTTGCAAGGTGTATTTTTCCACACTGACGTCAGTCGTGACGTCTATTTCTGACCTTTTCGAAGAGAGCAAGAATGCACGCGCATAGCTTTGACAGGTGCTGAAGATGCGTCACAGCAGGAATTCCGAAAACTCCTAGTATCGCGCCACGCCCCGTGCACTTTGATATTAACTTTCAAAAATAATTTCTGCAACCTCCATGCATCAAATTGAAAAATAATCTCGATATTCGTGATCTTGGAGGCCACATGAAGACAGTTTTGGTGAATTTCCTTAAATACAAAACCGCTTCAGTCTCCTGAGGAGCATTTAGTGTGGTACAGGTAAACAAATTGTGTTTTTTTGTTTCTTGAGGAAAAACAAAATTGGCAAATCATTGTGTTCTGTTCGGTTTGTGGCGCGGCTCTTAGTTCCGCGCTCGAATGGAGTTGCAGAAACTGTTCCAGGCTGTCGCCACTGCAGTTTCCAATACTCATCAGGGTCCATTTTAAAAAAAAGCTTCCGTCATACCAAGTTTAGCACGCCGCAATCTTTCCGGCACATCCATTCAGCTTTTCATCCAAAGGGACCTTTTTGCGCCTGTGGTGTACTGATACATCGGTACATGTCCCTGCCGGAGTCCAAAACTCCGTCGCTTTCACGCCGAGCCTCCTCGAGCAGGACCATACTTTCGTCATGTGTTGGCTTATAGCGAGTTCGTTTCACGGCACTCGTGCCCACGCGTGCCCACTCGCAGCGTGGAACGGGTTCGTTTCGGCCGGCGCTCCACGAGTGGTTGCACTTTCCGAGTTCGTTTCAGCGCTGACACCCCACGCGTGCATGCACTCGCTGCACCGAGAAAATCGGGAGTGCGCCAAAATGCAATCCCGTCATGCCTCGCTCCGGCGGGGCCGGCGAGGGGCGGGAGCAGACGACGAGGGTTCGTCTGCTACGATGTGTCGCGGAACCGAACGGAAAAAAAAAAAAGATTTTCTGATAGAAATCGCGTCCCGCGGGCAACGAAATCAAACGCGAGCTTGAATTGTGAGCGTCTGCTATTTCACGAAGGAAGCAAGTGACAACCCGTGCTTTATTTGCAGGTTTTAAATCGCTCTGTTGCCGTACAAACGCTGAAATATACCAGTGTGTAAAGAAATGCTCAGAACAAACGCAACTGCGGCCCCCGGGGTGCCTATCACCATCCGTGTGCGGGTGGAAAATTTAAAATTTGTCGATAAAACTCCCCCAGCAGAAACCTCTGACTGCCGAATAAGCATCAGAGAAAGTTAAAGATGGTGACTTTACCCGAGGATTGGGCAACATCATCATGTTTAACATTTACCTACGTCAGCTAACTTGCCCCGTCGTATTTTGTTCGAGAAAGCTCTCGTTCTCGACGCCCTCACCAAGGCTAATATCTAATCTGACGATCCAAATCGAAAGTCACAGTTTTGCTGGATATTCCAACAGGCTAGTTTTAAGCCG